TGACGTTGAGGAGCCCAGAGCTAAGAGTTCAATGCCTTTGCAGTAAGCAGTCAACACACCTCTCCTTCTCCCCAGGGAACAGGGGCAGCCGTCGTGCTGTGGTCTTCATGTAGTCCAGCAGCAAAGGTTCTTCACCGACTCCGTGACTATAGAAATGAGTCAGAGGCAAAAGACGGCCAGGCCTTGCCTCTCAGCCCCGTCGGCAGGAATGTGCAGGGACGCGTGCTGGGCCGCCTCTCCCAGTAATTCGCCTGTCAGCTGGACATACTCTGGGCTGAATTCAGTTTCCCCATATTTATGTCACTGCATTAGCAACTTGGGTTAGACATACTGGCAAGGTCTAGGGACAAATCTGCTCCATTTACTTCAATCGGTACTTGATGAGGGCTATTGTTCACAGAATCCCCAACCACAGGACTGGATCAATCGGCAGTATTGACTTCAGCCATGCCCTTCAGGATCCTAGACTCAAATGAGTTAGTCCCAGAGAGGACCAATAGGTCTCACCTCAGATAGTCACTTAGCTCCCTTTTTCATGGTTTGTATGCATGGATTGTCCCACCTTACTACTGGTATTAATTAGGACACAACAGAAGGGGTTGGCAACCATACCAACCAGAATATAGTCTAAGGCCAATCGATGATCCATTTACAATCAGGAAGTTTAGCCTGGTGGATTGATCTCCTACAGCTTGTTCTCTCTCATTGGCTGTGGTAGCTAACGTCAAGGACAGGTTCCTGACCTGTCTCTCGAATGTGGGCTCTGATGCCAGGGAACAGTACTTGCACTGCTGTGTGGAGGCAGGACTCCATGTATCCCTCAGGTAGAGCAGCTCTCTTTTACCAGAGCTCTAATGAAGGGAGTGTGACTCAAGGAGCAGTGCTATAGCCCATAATTACAGGGGGACCAAAGATGAGTCAAACTGCAGCCCCTGTGCTCAATAGAGAGATACCCTGTGGCCCATTCTTTCCCACATGAAAACATATAGCTGAAGGGGACAGGTTCAATTTGGGATTTGTTGATAAACTTAATTTGGATCACTGTTACATGAACTTGGATATTCCATATAGGCATAGTCACCAAGTAGCTGTAGCCTTGGAAGCTATCCATGGCATAACCCAAAGGCACTCAGGTTTCAGAAAAAGCATATGAACTGGTATGAGCCCAACTGGAACAAGATTGCATCCATCTTTGTGTTTATACATGTACGAGGGACTTCACATTTAGGAGCTGCCTTTGATAATATCAGGCACACAGAGTAACTCAGAGCGGCCAAGCCCACGTGAGTTTTTCCGATCCCACACATATAGATTGAAGTGATAAGCCCTGAAGTAGGTCAGGTTGGCAGTCAGAGCTGCTGCTTGTCTCAGCGGAGCACATGATTGCGTTACCAGGCTGCAGGGCTGGGATTTGAAGATAAAGACAGCACTAATCATTTCCCCCTCCCAGCACCTCCAAGGTCTAAGCTATTCCTTCCCAACTGAAGTGGTTATTGGTGCCATGGAGGCACCAATAGGTCTTCTTCCAAATTTCGCAGATTTTCTAATTAACTTGCAGCCTCAACAAAATGCCTACGCAGATAAGGCACATATTGTCTCCAATACCTGAATAGTGCAATGAAGTGCCAGGCTTCCTTTCTGGTAGTGGAAAGCCGTAGCATGGAATATATTTTCTTTACTGTCCCTAGAACCACTTTTAAGTGGTAACTCACATTGCTCCCCAAATTTTGACTTGAGTGGCTGGTCCCTGAATCTTATCAGAATTAATGAGAAATCCCGGGCCTCATGTGAGTTAGCATCTGCAATTTTCATTGGGGCTTATCGGTATAAAATCATCAATATAGTAGGGCCAAGTCACTTGCAAGAAGAGAGAGGCGTGTTCCGTGTTCTGACCCACCCATTGGTGGCAAATAGCAGGAGAGTCCAAGTATTACCTTGGCTGCACAGTAATTATGTTTTGGAAGCTGAGTCAGGTTAAGGACCTTGATCTTGGGGTACCAAAGGGATTGAGAAAAGGACATGACAAAAGTCCAAGATGACATGCCAGGTGCCATCTGGGCAATTGATTCAGCTACAGTCACAATTTCTGGAACAGCCAGAACTGCAGAAGCAAAAACTGAATTTGCAATGATCCTCCATGAGCCTCCAGACCCCATGAGCTTTTTTCAGTGACCACACAGGGCCATTACACTGGAAGGGAACCTGAAGGCGAATAGTCATCTCTTGTGCCTGTGTCTCACCCTCACCTCTCTACAAGAAGCTCTTCCAGACTGGGAACAGCTCCCTTGGACATCATGAGCATTCATGGAACAAGCATATAAATTACCAGTACCAATGACACAGTCAGCTTGGGGAGCAGCAGGAGTGGTGCGTAACAGCCCCCCTCAAAGCTCACAGTCACTTCCTTTCCTATTTGACTCTGTTTCAAATCTGGCTAAGCGAGTGGTTCTCAACCCCCAAGAGAGCCTGGTGCATTAGTCATTTGAGCACAGATATAAAAAAGAGACATAGAGGTTTATGTTTGCCCACTTTTATCTTTCTCCCCTCCCCCATTTTCCCCTACTTAAGGGGTAAGCCCTCTGAGATGCCTAGGGAATGAAGACACCTCACCCAGTGTCCCCTATCCTTACAGGCTTTCCAGTGCGGGGTCAGGCAGTGGAGGCTCTGAGAGAGCCATTCGTTCGAGGGCAGCCACCTGGCTTCCCAGTCCCTGCATGAGAGAGAGTGACCTCCAGGAAGGAGTCTGGTTCTGCGGGGCACGCAGAGCTTGGCCTGCCCGAGCAACTGCCTCCCTGGAGCCCAGCATAGCCTCCTACCTGGGCTGCAAGTCTTTGGTGATCATCGCTTTAGTCTCTACTTTGGGAACTTCTATTTTAATAGGCATATCCACACTGCCTTGTAGTTTCCTATCCTGGTCTTTGTCTTGGATTTCAGAGGCTCTGCCGTTTTAGGGAATGCTATCCTGGACATCTAATGGCCTTAAATCAACACAGCTTCCAGCTAGTGAAGGGAGTCACCTCAGGAGGGTCAAGGGGGGGCAATCTTAAAAACTCATCAGTCATTTTCTGGATAAGAATCATAATCAGCCTGTCATTCCATCCAGGACAGATGCAGTCTAGAGAGACTTCAGCCCTCAGACTTCGAACAGCTTCCTCCATGGAATTTCATGGGATTTTATTGTCCTCGAGAAAGTCTCTTTAGGTTAGCCATAATGTAGTCATTAAAACAGAAATCCACAGTAGCAAACCTCATTGCGAGGAATGATTCTGTCCAAATTAAATTATGTGCACAGGGGCTTAAATCATGGGGTCTAATGTCAAATAACATAGGCGCTTCCTTCTTCCTCTAAGTGCATAACTTTCCTCACTCCTTTATCAGCCGCGTGTCTAACAGGTCCTCAGTCTGCTGATCAAAGCCCCCTGGGCTTTCTTCCTTTCCCCCTCATTGGGGTCTGCAGCCTTCTATTCCCTTTAGGGGCATATTGTTCTCCAGATGTTTCCAGTTTTGACTTAAGACAGGGTGCAATTGTACTTTCCTTCCTTATGAGGCCCAGAGTGCTCCCTTGGTCCCCTAGTCCATAGGAGAGCAAGCAGCAACCATGCACCGTTTGGGCAGCTGGTTGGAGTTTATCCCTCAGCTTCCATCTCTCAACTCAACTCATGTTTTCAACAGCTAGGACAGAGGTGGGCCGCCCACTCCCTCTCTCCGCACCACTTGGGCCAGCAAGGGCTTTAGCATGATAGTGCCTTCCCTGCCCCAAGTCCCACAGGGTGATGCAGTGGGACCAGAGGGCGGCTGCGCACACAATGGGTGGTTAAATCTCAGCCCTTTGGCAGCAAGCAGTCACCAAACCTCCCCGGGAGCAAGCAGTCACACAGTGGTCCAGGCTGTGGTCACCGCGACCTACTTAATTACTTAAGTGACTATTTAGAGAAACTGTGCCAGGTCAGAGGATAGGCAAGCCTTGCAGTCTGGCAGCCAGCAAACATGCCCAGGACCACCCAGGGCCCATGGCAGGCGGTTCCTCCCAGCGGTGACAATGATTTTTCTATTCTTAGTTTTAGGAAATATATATTGAAATATTTAGGGATAAAAGATCAGCTTGTTATCAAATGGTTCAATAAGATTGTGTGTGTGTGTGTGTGTGTGTGTGTGCATGGTTAGAAGAGAGAAAAAACAAAGAAAAAGCAACTGGTAAAGCAAGGCAAAACATTAACAGTAGGTGAATCTGGTACCATTCATATTCCTGCACTTTTCCTGAAGTTTGAAATTTACCAAAATAAAGCCAAAGAAAAAACCTTTCATCCCTTCACACGTCCTATACAAACACCTCCTTTTCTTCTCACCAAAAATTATAATAACTATGACAAGCAATGAGTATTTGTTAATTATAAAACTTGTTTCATTTCCATAGTCCCTCTGCCTTACTTGAAAATATCAAGCCACATTTTCATGCGTGTGAACAAATGTCATGTTATAGCTCAACATCTGAATATGCCGGCTTAACAACAGGAGTGGGGGTGGGATGGGGAAGTCCCTGAGCTTCAAATCAATTTCTCCAGGAAAAAAAAAAAATCCATTAATTTTGAGAATTGGGTGAAAAATAAAAATTTCTTTGTCCAGAAATTGTTTTTAAAATGTGCTGCAGTTTTCTTTTGAAATGCTGATCAAATCATGAATAATCTGAGGATATGGAGAGAAAAAGAGGGTTGACAGAGGAAGAAAAAGATTTTGCATTAAAATATGTATTTTTAAGAGAAACCACCAAAAAATATCTCTTTGATGACCAGTATATAGTCTTATTCACTAGTGTGTATAAATACAATAGCATGACCCAAGAGATTATATAATGTCCTGACATTTAGGAAAAACTCCGAGAGTTGCAGGAGAAAGTATACACAACGACTCAATACCGTTCTGACACAGACGAGATGCCTGATAAATGTGTACCCTAACCCCACCTGAAATGCTCACTGTCTTTGTTTTCCCTCTTTTTCCAGCTGGAAAATCTGGAAGCAGAAACTGCTCCATTGCCCTAACTGGGTTTTGTGCCACTGAGCCCCTCACTGAGCTTAGATGCCCCCCATCTCATGTGGAAGCAGGTCACTGCCAGAGTGTGTGGGAGGTTCTAGTTCTCTAGGAAAGTGCCTGCTCTGAGTCATCAAAACCCTTTCCTCTCTGGCCACCTCACTCTGCATTATTAGAGGGACACCGAGCCTAAGTCAAGCACTGGGAAGGAAAGAACTACTAATGCGCTCAGACTGTGTACATAATCCCAAGGAAGACGCCCGATGGAACCACAGCAGGCCATGGTATGTAAATTCAGGTCATCACGGAAGATGAACCTCCTGTAGGTAATTTTTTTTTTCAAGCTTATATTTATGGCTTCATCAAAGAAAAAACTTACATTGTCCAATTCACCATAGTAACACCTAAAGTAAATGCTACCTCTGATCAAAGCACCTTGGGTGGACCTCCAAGACTCTCGAGTAAGAGAGTGCTTTGCTCTACTTTTGACCTTTAATGTTAACTTTTAAATTATCCTCCGGTTAAGATACCATTTCTACCTTCATTTCTTGGTTCTGTATTTTTTAAAGAAAACATCTCCATTATTGCAAGGGAAGAGATGAACAGGAAAGGCGATCTGAAAACTAATAATGTGCCAGCTGCAGAAAGGTTGATTCTTGTGCATTGCAAGTACTTCCTAAGTGTTCACAAGAGGGAGGAGCAGGTCAATGAGCTCATCACTGCATTCATGAGGGAAGTCAAGTGCTGCAATGTGCTCTTCCTTTCTCAGTAGTTTCTCCATACTGCATGTTCCTTTTACATATTATTTTCTTTTGTTAACTCTGCTCAGAATACTTAGGCTTTTTGAATCAGAGTGGTAAACTGATGGATGTTTTTGTTGGTTTTCAGAACAGTTTAAACTTTTTTAAAAATATGGATTCTGTAAGCTTTATCTCAAAACAGATATAGACTCATATGACCGTAGAGAAAAAATGGATGATCTATTTTTCAATCCTGTTTTGTTACTTGGACATGAAATATTAACAATGACCCAAGAATATTTTTTTGAAGGTTGTGTTTATATAACGTCTTCACAAATATGTTGGTCTTTCTGATCTTTGCTAAATGCCAAGATTTTCTTTGTAAAATGTCAGTCTTCTGAGTAGTTTCTCTAAGGCAATTCTCTTTGACTAGTATGAAATACAGCAGAGATTTGGCAATCACTCATTTTGTTTGATCTATCTAGACATTCAAGATGGCCCATGCCAAAAAGCTCTCTACTATGAACTTTTGTCTGCATTTATTAAATGAATCAAGTACATTGTAGTTATCCATGAAGGCACAAGTAGAAAGTTATATGCCAGCTTCCCTTATAAGAGCATTCCTGAGTCTACAACCTGCCAGTAGCGCCAACTTTAAAATTGCATCTGTTCTTCAATCTAACAAGGCACAAATATGCACCAGACATCTAAACATGATGTTTCAGGAAGACAGTTCTCATGGACCAGAATACCTGAATTTACTGTCTCGGATCTGATAGGCTATAGTTATGTGGACCTAACCCAAATAGCCATTGCAGGAGGAAGAAACATGTGTTCTAATGTTTCTTTCTAATGAAGTCTTATATCTGCCTCTAATAACCTTCATTTCTTAAATATTATGTTCCAGAATGTATATGCATTATTTTAATTTTTTTTTTAATATTTTCTGATCAAAGTAATTAAAACTAGGGCCTTAAAAAGACTTAGAATGTTAAATAAATGTATTTGTGTATAGGGCTTCCAGAAGTAAAAGAGAGAATTCAAGCGAAACACAATAAGGGAAAATGAAATCTTTGAATATAAGTCACTGGGGAGGAAAAGTCTTGTTTTTAATGGGCTATAGCAACCTGAGCTCTCTCGGGGGACCCTACAGCACTGCTTTCCGCTCGTCTCTCAGCGTTCACCACGTCAGCCTAATGGCCGGCTCTCAGTTCTTATTTGCGCTTTATAAAGCAAATAATAAGTGTGTTTCTGATATTTTTCATCCCAAACCATTTTTATCATAAATTTGCTGAAACTACCTTACCGTTCCCTGGCAGTTGGGAAGTAACAGCCCTAACTCAGGCAGGTGGGCTAAAGTTCCCGACGCCGTCGGAGGTAGAGAGAGCGCAGCGCTCTGCCTCCCGCCCGCCCTTGCCCTTGCCCTTGCCCTTGCCCTTGCCCTTGGGCTGGGAGCTCTCCCTAGTCCGCGGCCCAGGCATGCGACTGTCCAGGTGGACGTTTTGGTTTCTCATCTAACTGCTTGCTGCGCGGCTTCTGATCCCAAGCAGGCCCCGTTCTCCCCTTGAACCCCAGCCTTCCCTCCCTGCCCGGCACTGCAAAGGACAGAAGAGGGGTGAGACTCTCGGCTGGGGCAGAAGTGGGTCACCGGGAATCGACTGCCAAAACCTCCCTCGGGTCTTTGATCTCATTTCTGTTTTCAACCTTTAGCTGTAATAGTCTTGATCCATATGAGCAATTTGATGCTGTCAAATAAAAGAGTTTGGTGAAGAAGCCGAAAGTTTAAGCTTCGAGCTCATCTGCATCCATGTCTGAGGGCACGTGGCGGCGGTTTGGGCTCTGTGGCCTTGGGCAGCATATGGAAGCTCTCTTAGCTTCTGTCCCCTCTTAAAAATAGGGCCAATAACAGCAAATTATTGGGCTGTGGTCAGGACCGAGTGAGATCATGTATATCAAAAGCTTGGCCTACCATTGTAGCAAATGCTCTCTTTTTGTAGTGAAAATTATAACTGAAAGCTATCAGTGTAAAAAAATAGAGATAAACTTGGTGAATGCTCACTGGGAACCACAACTCTGATCACCCACCCACCCGTGGCACAAAACCCTGAGAGGGACCTGCCTCTTGAGGAAGCAGGAAACATCTCAAGAAAAGCCTCCGTCTATGATAGAATGGCATTCCAATGGTGCCATCAAAAGAAGTAGGTCTCTTAATTTGGCCACTGGAAACACTCCTCAACATTGAAATAGACAGTTGGCAGTTTTAAAATAAACTCTTCTAAAAATTAGCTTGCGTTGGTAAGAGAATATTCATTTCCTTTGATAACATGACATGTGTTGCTAAAACTGACATCTATTCACTTGCAAATCTCATTATTGAAAAGGCACATTTAGTTCATTTAATATTACCTAAAAGGTGTTAACAGAATTCTATTTCCAGCATTTTCACAGTGTTCCCTTTTCATCCCAGGATCCAGACAAGAGTTAAAATTCAGAAGCACAGATACGAAGCCTAGTAGAAATATGTAACTGAGCCATAAAGAAAAGATTCTCTCTGACCACATTGATCACAAAGTCCTCAAGGCACTCAAAGTCCTTACTTAAGTCAAGTATATTTATTTGTTCCAAAGTAAAACAAGATGCTTCCTGTAATGCTTGGATTAAATGTTTCATTCAAAATGTGTCTGCTGCGTCTCTCCTATAACAAAGGTGATCAGTTTGTACAGACACTCTCTGTCTGCTGGCTATCACCACGATGAGGTGACCCATGAGTAATTCTTCCAGCTTCAGCCATAAATACTGTACAGCTCCCATTACCTCCTGTGTTTCCCAAGCTCTGAAGCCTTCTATCCAAAGCAAACTAAGGATAGAACAGGGTAGCCTCAGCTTCTCGGCTTCTCTCCTGGCCACACATTGCCCTGCTGTGGCTGTTCATATACAGCCAAAATCACTGGCCCCTTCAGAGAAATAGCCACCAGTAGGAAATGGGTGTCCTGAGAAGTCCTCACTGCCATTGCGGAAGTATCAATATTCTTACCTAGATCCTCAACATAATTTTTTTTCTCACAGGCCATATTGCTTGGGTTAGGAGAAGTGGGAACAAATATGGACCTACATCGGTACCTTGGCCTAAGCAAAACCAAATACTTAGTGGGCTACAGTGTATGGCAAATATTCAAACTATTGCCATTAAATTCCATAACATTTCTTAAAGGGAGTGGCAAATGGGTCAAGTTCATCTTAATTCTACCAATATTGGTGGGTCTTAGGCACTTGGGTTACAATAAGGACCATTGACACTGAGATTTCAGGAATATTAAAAGTGAGTTAAGAGTGGATTAAAAGTAAAGTTCTTAAGGAATTAAATGATGGCATCTTTTTTTAAAAAAGTGCATCCTATTAACAAGGTACTTTTCAAATAATATTGAACAGCTGCATATACATTTTCAAGGAATTTTAAGAGTTCAGAAATCATTAAATTAATAGATCAACCTTTTAAAGCATCTCTTGACTCAAATACATGAAAAGATGATTATACCCAGGGCACATATTCAGAGAAAGATCAATTTTCTGGGGTTCTTCACATCCTATATTTAATAAAAATTTAATAATAGGTTTCTTTTCAACTTACCTTGCATTTCCTATAAGCTTATAGTAAGTAACTGCATTAAACCTGTCTTGGAATCGCACCTAAGCTTTACAACGTGACAGAGGACTTCGGGAGAGTTCCTGCTGCATTTCATAGCCAACCCAGTTGGAAACTAATGCTTAGCCTTGCCCCAGACCCCAGACCCAAAAGGGACAGCCTGATGATCTCATGTGGTGCAAGGGGTGAGCTCTCCCTCCTCTGCCAACCTCCAGAAACTTAGGAGTCTCTGAGCCATTCACATCCAAAAGAGATCCCCCACATGCTTGAAGACAAAAATAAAAACCTATGGCAATGATTAAGGTGTTCCCAGAGCTTACTACTAGGTCTGAGATAATACAGAAGTTTATTTGTTTGGAAAAAGTGAGTTAACACTCCAGTAGAACCAATACTGGGTAAGGAAGGAAGGAGTGGGCTTCCTCACTGTTCCCATTCTACCACTCAAACTCTTTGGCATCACACTTCACTGCCACTCGGAGAAAGCAGTTGGCATTACTACCCTCTATATAAAGAGATTCTCTCTAAAAACTCCAGTGGTTTGTAGAGCAGGTACCAATCTATTCAAAGTCGCAAAGGTTCCATAGAATCTATCAGACCAAAACCAGGGCCTACCGAAACGATGTTTGAGTGCAAGCAGCTACACTGGAGAGGTTTACCACTCTGTCTTAGGAAACTCCGTAGTCGTGAAAACATTACAAAATAGTCCTATGTTAGTGTAAAAATTGCCTGATATTAATCATAACCACGCCAAATTTTTCAGTGGAGGCATAGATATATTTATATTCTTCAGATCATG